GTTTGTTAGCTAGAAAAAACCATTTAAAACATAAAAATAAAATTTCTCTGTGATTTTAAATCTCCTCAAGGTATTTAAGAAATAGAGCAATGAAGATGCTCAAAAGCTTCAGTCAACAGACTGACATTGTGCAAAAGCAGATAGAAGAAATAGAGAATAGAAGAACAGTCAGCAGGTCCATATTCCACGTTGAGAGAAGCTTGACGTCTAAGAACAGTTAGGTACAACTAGGACCTACATTTAGGAGGAGATAGTTTGAAATATGAAGTTCGCCACTTAATCTACAACCTGATGCAGCATAGACTTCATGTTGGGCCTTTGCAGAGAAACAAATTTCACATTAAGTAAGTGCAGTGTTTCAGAAAGATGGCAGACTGACAACTCTCTAAGGTGAAATCCTCTACCTAGTCAATGGCAAGAAGAGTTCAGCCTAAACAGGAGCACGGAAAAACTCTGTACACTTCCAACATAATTAAACCTTTTTTTGTGTGTTAAAATATGAAAGTATCAGTAAGCTTCCACTGCTTTTCAAGTCCTTAGTCTGAAGATGTGATTTCTACATGGGAAAATTAAAAAGCTGTAGTCAATTACTGTGTTTAGGTGTTACCTCAGGTCTTTGAAAGTGATCCTACAGACCCAGTTAAGCTTTTGGAAAAGACAAGTATCTGTCAGGGAGATTTCTGAGGTTCCTGAAAGTCATGTTAACTGTATTTAGCATCCTCTTGATAAAATAGATACTTTGGTTTATTAAACATGAGCTATATTAAGCATTTCATCACTAATGACATCCTGTATCTTCATGGTTTGCTCTTTATCCTTCTATTTAAAATATTGTCATGACTATTTTTTGTACATATTCATCACTGAGTTACAGCCAAAGAGATGGGATTCCTCTAATCTAAACTTACAAGCCTACAGTGCAGCAATTTATATGACAAACTCACTCCAGATTCACTTTGTAGTCAATGGAGAGACTTAGGATGTGATAAAACCTTCCTTAGGGACAAATGATTCGTCCCTGTGCAGAAGTGCCTGTTACTCTTCATTGACAATAAAGGAAATGTAGGTGTGGAATTAATTTAACTAAACATAGATGTCATTGTTGCAGATATAACTTTAAGCTAGTCGATATCTACATCAACAGATGTATTCAGTACATACCCATGGGGTTTACAACAGGAGTCCCCTCTTCTTAAAGAGGCATCTATAACAGGCAAGAACTATGCCTTAAAAGTGCATTTTTCTCTGCATCGACTTTAGAGACATTATGTTAATAATTTGGATATCGATATCTACAGTGTGTATGTCCAAACCTCGGTGAGATGAATGTTGTTCTACATGACTACCACAGACCTTGATGTCTTCACTGCAAAAGTTTATATTTGATCAATTTAATTTCACTTAAGTCTCAGCATTTAAACTGAACAATTCTCTTACTTGGAAGAGGCAGGACTAAATAGCAAAAAAACAGCTACGTAGTCTTTCTTCAAAGGCTATGGTTTGAAGATCTTTTGCTTCTTTTGACAGTCTGTGATATTTTGTCTCAAAAAAGTCGGGTGGTGAGAACCTCTAAGACCAAGGCAACAAACTCTTCGCCAGAGCAAAAGTTATTCTGTATTTTATCTTTACCTTAATAGCACACAGTATCATCTGTGAAATCTTCTGTAAGTTATAATGGCTTTTTTGAGCTACACAACATTGCAATTAGTCCAACAGAAGCAGCTACAGTCCCAACAGAAATGGCACAAGACACATCTTCAGTGCAGTGGAGATAGGTGGAACTGATGGGAGAGTAAGCTCTAAGCTACAGTTTTCACCTCTCTCTCAGAGACAGAAAAAAGAATTCCTTACACAATTGCTTCTGGAGCTTCAGGTCCCTTGATGTAGAGGAACCATGTTTTCTGATGGCCTCCTTCATTCATTCCAAATGGCATCATCACTTATCTAGCTCAGCAAGCAGTTCTTACAGTTGTATCTGCAGGTTCCAAATCTAGAGATATATCTTTGTTGCATCCCATTCACAGAAGTTGGAAGAACCTATTTAGACCATTTAGAACACATTGGTCCTTGTTCTCTATTGCACAGTTGCTCAAAATAGTTTTGTTTTTTTTTTTAATCTGATGTACAGTTTCTGTGTTTGTTTAGATCACAGTATTAATTTGACTTCTAGAAACCCATTTCAAAATGTGGAATAGGAACATACTGGAACATTCAGTAGAAATCACTGGAAGTTCTACTCAGCAATGCAATGTGATGCGTATTTTCATTTCCAATTCACGTTATGTCCTATGTAATATCCATAGACACTTCACCAGTCTCCTTAATGAGTGTGGGTGTGCAATGGAAAAATAAAGACATGGTTCCTTCAGATACTGCTCAAAGTTAGGCAACCTTTTTACTTTCTGTTCCCTTTACTATAAAGATGTCTTTCCATAATTCAATAGAGAAGTGAGGAAAAACAGAGGACACCACTACCTGCATCTTTTTGTACTAACACTTTATGGAAAGGCCACATTCATAGCCATGCTATTGGAGAAAATCTTATGTTTAAACTGTTTTTAAGGAAAATAACAGCTGAAAAATAGAATGTCAGCCTCAATCAAAACTGAAATACAATTTGCTTTTTTATAAAGTAACCTTAAGACATTCCTCTACCTGTTGGAATGTAAACAAGGTTTTTGCTAGGCCTTTTGGAGAACATCTCTCTTCTAAACAACCAGTTTAAGCCCAGCTGAGTGATTATTGTCCTCAGAACTTTGGGATCCATCCCCTGAGTTTCTTTGGCTGTTACACTCCTGAGAATTTCACTGTATTCTTTAACATCTTCATTTCACCATTGCACATAAACTTACACGTCTCACAGGTGCTACTTTAAGTCTTCTTTCTTCCTAACGCTCTTGAAAAAACACAATTCATCATCATCCACAGTCATTAGTAATCTCTCAAGTTTTTCCTAAAATCTTCTTTTCCTCTTTATAGATCTTAATCATCTATAAACTTCAGAATATATTACTTCTTATATTTCATGTATTTTCTTCCTGACTTTTATGAAAATATTGAAGACAGTGTCTCAAATAAGTTGATGATGACATTATATTTCAATATCCTACAAACTAATTGTATGATTAATCAGATAATTAATGCCAGAAAACTGACAATAGAAAAAGTCTTCCTCCGCATCTTTCCCAAAATTAATCTCCTATGACTGCGGTGAGATACAACATACTAATAGACAATTCTAATCTGACTTTTAAATCAAAATAACATTTATCCTTTTGTTGTTGTTGTCATTAATTCTGAGTATAAAGGGTAACAGATTTTGAGAGATGATACTTCTTTGTCCAGTTTACTGCCTTAATTTGATTTTTTTTTTTAATTCCATGTCTAGTTTAATACACTTACGTTCTTTACATCTGTTTTTGTTTATGGAGATAGTATTATTCTACAATCTTTTCCACAATGTTTCTGTTCCTCTTCATTAATCTGATTACATGTGCATAGAGAAAAAGGACGAGCAGGGACCTTGAAAGGTCTTTTAGTCCATTACACTGGGTCACTCCTGTATTGCTTACTTTTTCTAGGGATCATCGAAGTTGGATACTCTGTATTCTCTTCATCAACCTGTTCCAAGGTTGTTCCTCTCCTGTTAAAAAACTTTTGGTCAATGTCTAACTTGATAATTCACAAGAACTGCGTCCTCTGGTTTGTGGGGTCTTTCACCAAGACTTGAGATTTGGTGTGCATCAGACTAATGAAGCATGTGTGTTTAGTACAATCTCAAGGCAAGGGTTGTGACGTGTTTATCACCGTTAGTGCACAAAGTATGACTGAGGGACACCAGCAATGAACTGATGTCCCATTTCCAGTTTAGTATTGGATATAACAGCATATGTTCATGGAGATGTAGTAATTAAGTCGTCGCTTTCAGTAAGACAAACACTTCATTTTGGGGATATTGTTGAGCATGTATTAGCAAATTCAAATGTGTCTGCAATATGCCATATAGATACAAGCACAGTGAACAATTGAATTTGAAAAAGTATGCAGCTCTTCCAAAAATCTTTATGGCTTTTTAGCTTCTTTTGTCCTCCATCTACCTCCTTAACTTACCTGAAGGAAATCAATCATATTTTTTCCCCTTTGAAAATGTCCTGGAGGTTACTTTAGACCACTTTGTAATAAAGTACTTGCCTTATTTTCAGATCAACGTTTGCTTACTCTTGGGTCTTTTTTGCTGCTCAGTCAGCAAATGACACTGACCAAAACTGATGCATAAGTCTTGGCTGGACCCCTGTTTTGGGGGAATTTTATCCATACTCAGTTAAGTGCTTACAGGTACACACATTCATTTTCAGCTCTTTTGTTTTTACCTACTGAGTTTGATTTCTCTCTAAAACTTCTTTATTCTGATGCAATGGAAATTAGTTACACCATGGAATTACACTTAGGTTTTCAACAGTATAAATGAGACCAAAATCAAGACCTTGAGGAATAGTCATGAGTATAAGAACATACAGGGGTTTTTTAACTTTATTTGTATTGCTGTTTTGGAATTTTTTGCTACACAGAAATAAATTCACACACACACACACACACAAAAAGTGATTTCAAACATTCCACTGGGATTAAGCAATTGGGTGAGAGGTTTATTATTGTGTTATGATAGCAGTCTGAATCCCTTAGCAAGATTACCCTCCTCATGTTTGGCACAGTAGAAAAAATCCCTGCTTATAATAATGCAAATTAAAATAACAGTACAGAGTATTAAGCATTACTAATGTGCTATTATTGTAGCAGTGTGAAGAACTGGGAGCAAACTACAGCGTGTGTGAAATCACTGTTTGGGAACAAATGGGAATGTTGTATATTTGTTTGTATAATTATACAGTGTATGTATTTCCCAAAAGGGAGGCAAAAAAATATTTTGTTTTCTTCTTTAATTAAAGCATAAGTTGTTTATTACAAGGCTGCATTAAAGTTCTTTCACTCTATTATAACAGGAGACTGGCTCGCTCTACACTACTGCTTATCCCCTTGTTTGGAATTCACTACACGGTGTTTGCTTTTTCTCCTGAAAATGTCAGTAAGCGGGAGAGACTAGTGTTTGAATTGGGACTGGGATCTTTCCAGGTGATTATATAGTGAATTCTGCTTTTGTTAAAAAGAAATCTCTGTTCATTATAACTACTTTGCATGCACAGTTCTCAGACTGTGTGTTTATTTATGTATATGTTTTATATACTAGGATTTTGGTTTTGTTTGTTTGTTTTAACTCCAGCTATTTTCTAGCATTTACTGAAGGAGTTGAATTACATTTTTTTTTCTCTCCCATTTACCTAGGGTTTTGTTGTTGCTGTTCTCTATTGTTTCTTGAATGGGGAGGTAAGACTTTTAATATTTAACCTCCTCCACCCACCATCCCCATCCCATTTCCTTGTGGGAGTAACTACTATTCTAATCCTTCACTGTAACTCATCATCTACCATATTCCCTAATACCTTAGGCTGAATCTCACATTGTCTCAGCAAAAGAAAGAGGATGTGTGATGTCTTTATTAAACCAAAACTTTGGCCTTGCCAGAGATGATGGCTCAGATTGATGCTCCCCTAACAGAGGTAGGGACTGTACTGGGCTCTTTGGTTATGTCATCCCAGGTGCAGAACTTTGCGCTTGTCTTTGTTAGACTTCATAAAGTTCTTGCTAGCTCACTCTTCCAGCCTGTTCAGTTCTCTCTGTAAAGTGGCTTTCCCTTCTGACATGTCCACCTCACCACCCAGATTGGTGTCATCAGCAAACTTGGTGAGGGTGTTTTCAATCCCACCATCCAGATCATTTATGAAGATGTTGAAGAGTGTGAAGTCCAGTATCAACCCCTGGAAGACCCCATTAATGACAGGCTTCCAGCCTGAGTAAAAAACATTGTTCACCACCCTCTGAGTGTGGCCTGTTAGCCAACTTTCTACCCATCTTGCAGACCACCCACCCAATCTATATCTTGCCAGTTTGCCTAGGAAAAGGCTGTGGGAAAGTGCCAAATGCTTTGCTGATGTCCAGGTAAACAACATCCACTGCTCTTCCCATGTCAACAGAAAATATTATTTTGTTGTAGAAGATGATCAGGTTAATCTGGCATGATTTGCCTTTGGTAAATCCTTCCATAACTCACCTCCATACACTCAAATTTCTGTTTTACACAAAGTGCAACTCCATCTCCTCTTCTTCCCTTCCTATATTCCCAAAAGTGTTTGTAGCCATCCGTTGTGGTCTTTCAGTCATGTGAGTTTTCCCACCAAGTTTCTGTGTTTTCTATAATATCATAACTCTCTGACTGGGCATGGAGCTCCAGTTTCTCCTATTCGCTGCCCAGACTACACGCATTGGTATACAGAAACTTGAGGTGACTGGACTTAGGGTTCTTGCCTTTGGAGAGGGTTGGGGGAGCATTCCTCAATGCTCTGGAATAACCTGCTGCTTATGAATATGCAGATGTCACAGCTTTGGACACTACCCCCCAAGTTCATTAGTTTAAAGCACAATTCACTAAGTCAGCCAATCTGCTAGAGAAGATCCTCCTGCTTCTTCTAGGTAGGTGTATCCCATCTCTTCCCAATAGGCTGTATTCATTGAAGAATGTCCTATGACTGTAGAAAACAAAACCCTGGCAATGACATCAGTCCCAAAGCCAGGTATAGGTCTGCATGATGCATTGACTTCTGCCTGCACCCCTATCTCTGACTGGCAAGAGAGAGGAGAAGATCACTTGGGTATCTGTCCCTTTCACTTGCACATCCAGGGCTCTGAAATCCTGCCTGATCTTGCCCAGGCTTTGCTTTACCATGTCATTGGTGCCCACATGGAAAAGAAGTAGGAGATAGTAGCTTGTGCTTTTAACTAGCTGTTGCAATCTCTCTGTGACATCCTGGATCTTGGCTCCTCGCAAGCAGCAAACTTCATTTGACTGTATATCAGGCCGACAGATGGGTGCCTCCGTGCCTCTCAGCAGAGAGTCACCCACTACTAGCACTCGTTGCTTCCTTTTGCAGCTTTTACTATGTGCTGCTGGTATAGTTTATCCCTGTGAATATTGCTCATTGGTTTTGTCTGCTGACAAGTCTCAGTAACTGTTGCTGGATGGTACGTAAGAAGAAGGGGAGTGAAGTGATAACCTGTTCCCACGGGGTCACCAGAGACCATGGCACCTCCTTCTCCAAGGTGCTGTCTGTTCTCTGTTGAAGCTCTTTGTCTGGTAGTCATTGGAGGTCAGTGCCACAGGGCCCTAATATTTCTTCTTGCAAAGTCTCAAATAGTACTCTATTTCTTGTTCACCCTCCCTAACACAGCATAGCCTGCTAACTTCCTCCTGCAGCTCCTCCACCTGCTGCCTGAATGACTCCACCAGAACCCACCTTGAGCAGGTGGAGCTTCTCACCCTCTTCCACCCAGGAGGCGGGTTCAGTCTTTCCATCCCTCTACCTGGACAGCAGCTTCCCTGATAGCAAGCTCTGTCTGGGCGGCTGCATCCATTCTTCCCAGGCTAGCCTGGCTAGGTAGCTGATTCCTGTCTGCTGCAGAGCGCAGCTCTTGCCTGGTTTCTACCACCATGCTTCCAAAAACCTCAAAGCACTGCCTAATAAACCATTCTAATTTCCTGGAGACCTCAAGCTGTCTGGTAGGCTTGCACAGCCACCAGATAGCTCGGGTGACCATCAGGGCTGCAGCCTAAGCCTGCAGGTGAGCAGAGCAGGCAGCAGCCCAACAACTGGCAGAGTGCACAGCTCTTCCTGCGTGAACTGTCGCACAAACTGCTGATGCCGCTCCCAACAGATGCCGTGCCCTGTTGCTGATGCTGCTCCCAGCAGATCCTGTGTCCTGTTTGCACTCCTGGTCAGGTGCTTCCCAGGAGCTGGTTATATGCGGCTTCCCACGGTTTGGCCTGGCCATGGGACAGCTGGCACCACTCAACTGTTGCCCTCTCCTCTCGTGAGACCTGACTCCTGCTGGCCGGTCACTCCACACACACAGCCCATGAGTGTCAGGTGCCCAGAAACCCCCTCAGACATGCCCTGGGTACCTTGCAAGCCTCACACTCCTCTCAGCACATGGCAACAGCTGCTGCTGTTAGCGTCAGCTTCCCACGTTTGTTTTTTTTCTGATTCACGTGTTCTGATCTGCAAATTGAAATTCCCCTGCCTTTGTTTATCAGACTGAATACCTGAGGTAATTGTTTTCTGAATTCATGGAAAAAGACTCCTTCCTTAAGGCTGCCTTAAGAGGAATATATACAGTTCATCCGTTCTCTCCTCCACTGATATACATCTATTGCGCAGTCCAACAGGAGAAGACTTCTCCTAAAATCACCTTCGTTTTTTCTTTTGAAGGAGGCTGAGACCATTTATTTCCACCAGTTTTAGTGCAGTAGGTGTTCTATGCTTGTTCACATACAGCGTGCAATAGCTGGTCTCTAGTACAAAAGGTCTCCGACTCCCTGATGCAAGTGATTCCTTCTCAGATAACCATAACAATCTCTTCAAGTTCATTAAACAATCTTATAGGTCATCTTTGCTTATGGGCTTTGTCAAGATGACTGTTAAAGGACTCATAGGTAAATGTTAAAGCATTATTCGTGGCTCAGTCCCATGTAGCTCAGAAGGTGAATTCTGGATCATGCCTTGCTGGAATTAGTGGCTGCATTCATACTTCACTAACTGGCGTTACAGGCTATCCACCTCTCCAACCTAAAACTGCTGTTTCATCTATTATATTCCATAAGTGCTAAAAGAATAGCCAGAAGTTCTTGCCTAAAACTAATATGGAGATAAGCACCTTCCAAGATAACATGCACAGTGTGTCAGATATCCTGTAACCCCCTGGAGGGTGGGGGGGCTGTTCTTAGCCAAACTAACACAACCAGATTAATTAAAACCATTTTACCTCTCAAGACATTAGAGAATGACTTATGCTTCCACTAAATTACTTAGGGTAAGAAAGGGTTCACCTTTGGTATATTACACTGTTACAGATGCAAGCACTATTTTCTTTTTACAGAGTTAATACACCTCCACACTCTATCTAATCTATACCTATCTATGCTCTAACCAAAACAGAAATTTAGCGGTACTAGAAGGAGAGTGTAAGTTTTCCAATTGGACTTTTCCTCCCTGTAGTTAATGTCCATACAGTTGAAGCACTTGTTTAGCATTTTGGTATATGCTGATCCAATTTGAAAACTGTACTGGTCTAGGAAAATCCAGCAATGACTGTTAAAGACAAGAATACCTTTGACACAGCAGCTTATTGGAGACTGGAAAAATATGTTGAGAAAATATCTCTACATATTTCCTTGTTCTTATGCTACTTCATTCAGAAATACACTACAGGCTACTGTCAGGAATGGGTAAAAGACTGAGTAAATGTTTGTCTGAGCTAGTATGATCTTATATTAAATCCTTACTATCTTATGTATATATGTACACACATGCACACCTAGCAAGGTTGCCAGGAAATTGGTGATGAATGAAAAGTAGAAAAGCTATAGAATATTTGCTTACTTTCTAATTGGACTTCTGACCATGGATTGTTTTACTGTTGGTGATTTACTGTGGGTGCCCACAAAAAAAAGCTCAAGGGAAAGGAGACTGTCATAGATGTATATGAATCTAAGAGCTGTCATCTGCTTAGAGGCGATCTGAAAGCAGGAGGCAAAGTTTTCAGTAGACATGTATCCATTGATGGCAGGTGAGCGACACGCTGCCTTTGTGGACAGGTTATTTCATTATTGCTTAGTACCTTTTGGTTGCTGGTTTCTTTGACTCCTTGGTATGCATTTGGTACTGGCCATTGATGAGAACAGGATATTTTTTCCAAGAAGCTAGCTAAAGAACCATGTTGGAGTTAGTGTTGAACAGGTCTTCTATGCACCTTTGGGATGATCCTAAATTATCTGAAGTCAGAGACACAGAACCCAGGCTGTTATTCCCACTGCATGCCTGGACCTCTTTCAGACGTGGAGATGTTACTTCAGATTTTGCTGAAGTGAGGAGTTTAATAATAGTCTTAAAAATTGTTCTGTCAAATTGTGGGGGTTTTTTCTAAACTTAATAATTTGTCAGCATGTCCTCGAGCGGCTAAGTACATAAAAAATGACCTTTTGAAGTTTCTCCCTAAAGGTGCAATCAGAAATAAAGAGAAAATGGAGGAGCTGGAAAGTCAACCGGTATTTTGCTGTGGATTTCAAACATCGTCATCCTTCTCTAGCGAGCAGCGGAGTGAACGGGGGGACACAACTCTCCATTCTGAGCAAGAGCAGCTCTCAGATTCGGATGTCCAGCATAAATGCGGAGAACCTAGCGACATGAGCAGCTAAGGAAAACAAATCAATCAACAAGCAAACCAAAAACCATCCCTTTAAAAAGAAAAAAAAAAATCATAGTTTTGGTGGTGGTGTAGGTCTCCTTTCTTTCCTTTCCTTTCCTTTCCGTTCCTTTCCTTTCCTTTCCTTTTTCCTTTCCTTTCCTTTCCTCTTTCCTTTCCTTTCCTTTCCCTTCCTTTCCTTTCCTTTCCTCTTTCCTTTCCTTTCCTTTCCTTGCCTTTCCTTTCCTTTCCTTTCCCTTCCTTTCCTTTCCTTTCCTTGCCTTTCCTTTCCTTTCCTTTCCGTTCCTTTCCTTTCCTTTCCTGTCCTTTCCTTTCCTTTCCTTTCCCTTCCTTTCCTTTCCTTTCCTCTTTCCTTTCCTTTCCTTTCCTTCCCTTCCCTTCCCTTCCCTTTCCCTTCCCTTTCCCTTTCCCTTTCCTTGTCCTTTCCTTTCCCTTTCCCTTTCCCTTCCTCTCCTCTCCTTCCCAACGTTTCCTTGATGTTTGTGGAGGTTGAAAAAGCAAAGGAAATGTGTATATATACATCTTTTTAACGATCACTGTAAATACCCAACTGTATTCAAGGCCGTTAATGGAAAAATGTTTAAAAGAGAAACAACAGGCCAAGCCCACCCGCTCAATGATTTACATTTCAGAGCATCTGCAAGTAATCCGTTGTCAGTCAGAAGTAACAAGTGATTGCTGTGCAGTTGTGATCCTTGGTTGCCAAACTGTTACTAATCTGTGAATGACTATTGTTATTTTTCAAATTGGTTTCCATTTTGGTTTGCATTTGCCTTTTTTTTTTTTTTCCTAGTCAAACATATCTTAGCCTGTCCCTGTCTTTTGGCATGTGAATTTCTGCAGTGTTTCTCTTTTGAGTCTTAGGATGGAGCTAATATTCTTGGGTTAACCAAACCAGCCAATTCAGGAAGAACTCCAGAAAATTAAGTTCACAGCTGGATTTAGTCAGATGTTCCCAGTGGACTTAAAGAAACTGCTGTGCCAATGTGAAGCTGCATAGCTACCATCCATCAGTGGGGGACTGCAGGCAAGAGAGATGGGATCAGCTGTCTTTTTCTGTACCCAGGGTCACTTCTGAGAATGCTTTATGTTCTAGCTAAGCTGTGAATTTTCTAAAAGGGCCATGCAGTTGAGATATATCTATATTTTTAGCATTGACTGATTGACTGATAGATTGATTGATTGGATTCTTTGAATAATAAAAATAACTGTCCCCTCCCTCCCACCTTAAGAGCAAAAGTCCATTCCAGGATGGCCTTTCCCTCCAGGTAACCTTGAACCCTCTGCATCCATGTGCAAACATGGCATGTGCTGGGGTAGTGCTGTCACACAGAGTGTGGTGCCTTTGCAACCTGGTTGACTTCTGTGTGTTGAGTCATCCCTGCCAGAGCAAGAGGCACAAGAGGGATCTGGCATGATCATCTTGGAAGGTAAAAGTCATCTGCTTTTGGTGAGCAACTAAACTGAACAATAAGATGGTATGGAAGGAAAAGATAAAGACTTTGGATGACTTCCCACACCTGGCAGTTTTCTCTCTCTTTGGATATTCTGTTTGTTTAACCACCAATGGTCTTACCGCTTTTCTTTGAGAGGAACTAAAATGCTCTTTCAACTTTTGCCTTGTAGTTAAAGCCACGACTGGTACATATCTACTTCAATCAAATGTCAATGATGTCAATTCTTAAAAGTCTTTATACAGTGCATAAAGGCTTTGAGGACCGTCCTAGCACTCACTTCATTTTGGATTTATGAACTTATATATATATATAAAACTATATATATATATGTGCGTGTATATGTATGCATATATCGAAAAAAAACAAAAATGAAAATGACATTTTAAATGTGAAGTTTTGAACTGAAACTAATAGTAACCAGGAAATTCAAAATTCAGGCTTGTTCTTTGGTGTTAGTTGACATGATCATGAACTAAAAAAGAAAGAGAAAGACTCAGAATTTTAGTGTCAGCTGAGTGTGAGCTTTTAATTTCACTGGTTTTTGTTAGTTTAGGTAAAAAAAGTTTTAATGTCATTTTAAGCATAGGTTTTTAAAAGTAATGCTAGTTTCCTTATTTTTAAAAGGAGAAAAAAAGGTCTCAGAAAGTTGTGAAAGAAATATTAATTATAATACTTAACACTTATATAGTGCTTTATGGGACATAACCTGCTCTCAGTTGTAGCAGTGTAAATGAATGTAAACATAATTTGAAACAGATGGAAATGTTGAGATTGACTTCATATTTGTACAGGATCATGCTCTTATGAGATGCTTACACCCCTTTCAGGTGAAATCTATCCTTGCACAGAGGGCCAGCAAAAAGGTTTAAATCACTTGCGTTACACTCCAGTATCTTAAGTGGTAGTTAGATGATCCAGACACCGTTTTTTCAAGTTTTCAGCACTGGTTTGCTGCTCCGAGAGCAGAATTTGTCCCCCTCTACCAGACTCTCTGCAAAAGTCATTGAAGTGTCTTTAACTGATAGATTGGAGCTTCCTCTCATTAGATGCTGCTAAAAGCTATTTTAGAAAGTTTCCCAAGGAACCATGCGCTTTGGAGGCCAGAAAGACATGGCAGATGGGGAAAATCGGATCTATCAGGTAAATGCATACTTAGACATTTTTTAAATGAGACTATCTAATGTTAGATGAACAGAAAACATTTAGTTTTGTATTTTCTGTAGTATGGGCTTTCACAAGGTATTATATTGACAATACTGTAAGTATTATTTAAAAAAATCAAAAAGTATATTTTGCATGAATGGCTAGTAGCCAATATTCAAGCATTAATAAATTAGAACTTTTGAGAAAAAGGTGTTGAATAACTGCCTCTAGCTGGAGACTTTTTGCCATGTTTCAGTCCAGAGCAAGAAGGTGTTTGGATTTTTTTTTTTTTTTTTTTTTTGAGGCTTTTTCTAGGCTTGCTTTTGGATTCTATTGTTTTCCTGGCTGTCCTACAATGCTCTGCAATTTGAGTTGGTGGATCTCAGTCCAGTGCCTCGTGGGCAAATGTCCACATCACCAAAACCACCCTCCAATCATGCACACTGGAGACCAGGTCCTCAGCTAAATTAAAATCAGTACAGAAAACTGTTGTTAGTGTGAGAACAAAGCCACTTCACTTTGGCTTGGGATTTGGCCTCAGCACATTACTATTACTATTATTTTTTGGTGGTATCAGCAAGAGAGGCCGAGGACTGAATAGTCATGGAAATTTGGACTTGCCCCTTAAATTCCTAGAGCCAATGCTCAGGAGCAAGACAAATCGGAGGGCAGTGGAGGGGAAATTTCTGCTGTTGCAGTCCCTGTGTTTCTTGTTCAGTGAACAAATTGAAGTCTTCAGTACCTTTCACCAGCACTGGATTTACTAGAAGAAATGGTATCTCTTGACATATTTAATATACAATGTATTATACAAGCAACCCCCTTCTACTGTAATTTTTTTTATTGGCAGTGTTGATGCACTTGTAAATGTGGCTTTCCTTAGTCACTTGAACTTTCTCAGTGTTACTGGAAAGATCATAATTCAGGTGTACGTAGTTATCTAAACCAGACTCTGATGCCATCGCACAAATTAGGTCTCAAGAAGTCTTTATGTTGAATGTAAGCTGAAGATGCTGGACATCCATGGCCACCATTCACAATGGCTGTCATTTCTATTTGTTTCAGGATGGAAGAAACCAACAGGTCGTTTGCTTCCAAGCGTGTGTAAATATCAATTGCGTGTAACAGTGCTTTGTTTGATTTTTCACTGTGAAATATATTTTGCAGCTAGAAAGGCTATGTTATTAAAAACAATACATAATTAAAAGAAAAACAAGTGTGCAGTGCTCCTTGAGCCATTTTTTCTACCATGTCCATAATGTATTTCTTGTCTAATTTTCTTATTTTGCTTTTGTAAATATACAAAAAGTTTATGTGCTGCAGCTTTTGTGACTATTTACTGTATCTAACCACTGTTTGATTATTGACTTTTTGTTGTGGAGTGCTGGTACTAGAGGACAATTAACATCCCAAGATGAAAACTACAACCTATATTTCAAAGGACAAGGCTTGTTTCATTGCTGCATGGTGACCTCACCTCCTTTTACCTTCATCTACATTTAGTATACCTGAAACTCAGAGCCCAGGTAATGAAATTTAAATGTTTAGTTGTGGGAGTTTTACTTCATAGAGGAAAAACACCCAAGTTCCTCTGCCTCATTTAAGTATTTGTATTTGAAAACCAGGTGTTAAAGTGGGGTGGTGAGGGAAGGGAAGGAGCTGAAGGGCAGGTGAGTACAGAATGAAATGCAAAAAAGCTGCAGTTTGGAAGTCAAATTCAGACACTCTATTTGGTGTCTAGCTCCTCCTTTTCAGCAGCTTCCATCATTGCAGTTAAAGAACTGTGTCTTTCAATTACAAGGCTAAATAACAACCAGAAGTGGGCAGGAACTGACCGTGCTGATAATTTGAGATTACCTTTGCAAAGATGACTCTCCATAGACTCTCTTCGTTGTCAATGACAAGTGTGCGATACCTTCCAGAAGGGAATGCAGAACAGTTCATAGAATCATAGAATCAACAGCCCACGTTGGAAGGGACCTCAAACAATCATCTGGTCCAACGTATCATGAGAAAGGGAGCCTAGATGAGAATATTTAGCACCCTGACCAATCACATCTTGAAAACCTCCAGTGATGGGGACTCTACCACATCCCTGGGGAGGTTGTTCCAGTGAATGATTGTTCTCACTGTAAAAATTTCTTTCTTATATCGAGGTGAAACCTCTCCTGGTGCAACTTGTACCTGTTCCCCTTGTCTTCTCCATGTGGGTCCTTGTGAAGAGACAGCCTCCATCCTCTTTGTAGCCACCCTTTTAGTACTGGAATACTGTGATGAGGTCCCCCCTGAGCCTTCTCTTCTCCAGGGAGAAAAGACCTAACTCCTTCAATCTTTCCTTGTCGAGCAGGTTGTCCATCCCTTTGGTCATCTTCATGGCCCTCCTT